CTGGACGGGCAGCCTGGACCTCCCTGCACAGCAGATGTCCTGGGTAGAGCTAGAAGAAGCCCTATTACCTTTTGTCATATGTTATTCGGTATTATTTGAATTGTGTTGCTGTGCGTGTTTATCACCGACTGACAATTTAAAATCACTATTTTTACTCGGCAAATAATGATTGAGTCAATTTAGCAGAAAACATGGTATATAGACTATGGTAGATTTGAATGTACCTAGAAGTCCTTGATTTGTAATTAGTCATTTTCTAAACGGGACTGCCTCTATAGACTGTAAAGTCTACTGAGTGTGTGTGAGCACCCTTATAATTTTCACCCAGAACCTAAGTCAGCGTTGGTACAATAATTAGGGCAATGTTGGGGAATGATGTTTTTGCTCTCATGCCCTGCCCAGGGCTGGGGAAGATATTAAGGGAGACTTTTATATTTTGAATGATTTGTTAAACTGAAATATTTATTTTGAAAGTTTGAGAGGGAAGCCACTTACCATGATTTACCTATTTTCTTGCCCTTTGAGAGGAAAAGATTCTGCTTACTAAATTTCTAAAAATAATCCAACTGCACATAACACTGTTGCTACTCTTCTTGTTTGTTTTAATTTTTTTTTTCAGCAGTGGGAGACCTCCCACCTGTTAACTCAGCCTCTAAATATCCATAAGGGCCAGAGGCTCAAAAGCAGGAGGCAGACACTCCGTCTCTAAATCTTGGAATCCCAGGTAGGTGGCAGAGGCCATCACATGCCAATTCCTTGAGGTGGCAGTGAGGGAAGGGAAATGAGTGCTGTGTTAGTAGCAATGTGGAACAGGGATTTGAACCCGGGTGCTTACCCACTGCCCTGAAGTCCCATGCAAGAGCTATTACCAGTAGATTTAGATATTTACACAGATAAGCATCCCAGCCAATTGTCAATCCACTGACTGACTCTTGGCAGTCTCAGTGCCCTTGCACCCCCATCCCCACCTCACTCCCTATCCTCTGCCCTCCAGTAGAACTGGAACAGAAGCTTAAGGCTTCACCAAGCCTCAGCCTAACCTTTGCTTACTGCTCGACTCTGGCTGCAACTCAGCTCCATTTAAAGATAAACTCAGTGCACCAACGGAGTTCCAGGGGGAGAGCAGCCAGGTTTGAGCCCCACCTCCTGCTTCTTCCACCATTCTGGAGCCAGGCCCAGGCTTTCTGGTTTTAGAACAGAGCCACTGAAGCAAGAATGAATTCCCTGTGTGGGCTTGGGTCAAGATCTCCAGCAACTTTGCAAATCAGAATATCAATGTCTAAAGCTGTGTTACTGAGTCACCATCCCAAGACCTAGGGAAATATCATTTGGTTAATATGACCCTCCCCATAGCAAGTCAGGTAAGCATGCCAGCTTGCCTACCCTAGTCAGACAATGACATTAGTTTCTGAGCATTAGTAAGAGCCCAGAAAACCCTTACACCCACCACAGGCAAGGTCAGGGACCTGACTTTCCCTCTCAACTCTCACTCCAGTATATGCTACTGATTCATGGGGCCAAGAGAACTGATTGCCTGAAGCACAACTGTAGCGCCAGCAACAGAGTAGAAAGTTGAGGTTGTTAGATGCTCCAAGGCTGCAGAGAGGACTGGAGGCTGTCCTGGGCACATGGAAAGGAAATCCCGGTGAGCATTTTTCAACAGTGGCTATTGTTACTGTGTATTTTGAAAAGAGATGCAGCATGCCCCCAGGTTTCTCCCACAAATCCTTCAATCTCAATTCCTTTTTCATTTCCCTCCATTGTCCAAAGGAAGACACACATCATCCCTCAACAGTGCCTCTCCTCTTGTTGGTTTTAGACTAGGATTTTCAGTAAAGAAATTAACCTCTCTGTTTCCCCTCCAAGGGCACTGGGATTCTTTTTAGCTCTGTTCTCAGGGTCTGTAAGAGGGAAGACCAACACAGCCCAGCCATTACTGTCTCAGATTCAGTAGAAGAACTGAAAATACACCAAGACTCACAGCTTCAACCCATCTCTCCTGTTGTTGTGTATCATGTCCCACGGCACCACTCACTAAACCAATGCAATCAGCCTACATGGATATCTTCATGAAATCCTATGGGGTTGCTGAAGATATCTGCATGCCTAAGAAAATGAAGCCAACTTGAGAATAGAAAGTGAGATCAAATTGAACAGGGGTTGTAAATTTGGATAAATAAATTCTGAAATTGCTGGAAGCTGGCTCAGTGAATTCATATTGGCATGGGCAAGTAGACTGCAGGCTTGATCTCACTTGTGTATGTTCAGATGTGCCTTCCATCATGGCATTTGGCACCAAGTGCACAACAATCAACAATTGGTGAGGTGCTTTCCTCCTATCAGCTCCCTGCTGTGTCTGGAGGCCTCCTCCTTATCTACTCCATTTGGTTCATCCAGATTGAGAGGTAACTAGATGCCTATGTCAAAACTGCAGACTCACAGAAGTAGCATGGGTTTGTTGAAAGCCACAAAATATTTATCAGTGTCTTCAGAGTACATTCTAGTGTATCACATACCTAACTTTAGAATTGGAGGAAGGATACAACGGAAAAGGCCAAAGTTGTTGATGCTCAGCTATCGAAGACGAGGCTTGGAGAAAGGTTTATGCTCCACTGTGCTCTTTGTTAGTTCACCCTTCAGGACATTTGCACATTTCCTCAATATCAATGACACAGTTGCCAAGGAAGATTATCGAGAGTGGTTCTCAAAGGACATCCATAAGGACCAAAATTAGGGCCAGAGTGAGGGGAATTTAGAACTAATAGGAAGTTTGAAGTGTGTAAGTGGCCACCTACATCCCTGCATATAATACAAGGAACTCAGGGAACATACAGTACTACTGCTCAGAGACCAAGCAACAATCCATTTCAGCCACCCTCCAATATCTAACATGATCCTTGGTCCATGGAGTGGGTCTTCTATGAGTTTTAATCCAATAGAAATTATAATAAGTATACCCTCTGTTCAATCATTACACAGCCCTGATAGGATCTCTAGATTAGTTCCCAGCTTGGGAACATGCTAAATACTATGATTGATAGCAACTGAATTTTGGTTGCTGAAGATGAAAATTTAAAGAAAATCAGGTAATGTAACATAGCTGGCATCTACACACCATTTATTTACCAGAGGGACCTAGTGATGGGCCCAGAAAGCCTAGTGTTTTCTATGGCTGAAAGGCAGTGAGCAATAACAGAGCAGGTGACTACTAAAATAAAAACAACCCCCCCAAAAGAAAGGGCAACTATTACCATTAGTCTGTATTAGTTATAATACTGGTACAAGCTTCATGGATACTTGCTATAAATGAACTCTAGTAAAATGATGATTATCCACTTAAGAACAGTTCATGGTTATAGGTCAGGGGACTTACATGAAGCTTCATCTTACAGATACCAGGCATGATTAGCAAGAACAACACAAATGCTATGAAAAAGGAATAAAGAAATCAAATGGGTCATGCTTGAAAAGAAAGCCTAATCAGTATTGAAAAAGCAAGGCACATTCTAGAATTATCTTTGTCAATTAAAAAAAATGTGTTGATTAAATTAGGAAAGAAGACATATAGTCAAGTGGTACATTAATTCCCAATGGTAATATTTCAATGGTTGATTAAGCTCAATTCTGGGGTTTCAGTTTAATGAATACATTTCTTTTCCCTCTCCTATCTGACTTATGGTAGTTTTGAATGGCAGTACTTTAACAAAATTTCCTCTTATCCCTGAAGACATGGACTTGTCTCAATCATTATTTAATCAGATTACCAATTACTCCAGAAGATGATGTGGATTCAGCAACTAAAGAAGGAAGCAGGCAGCTTAATGTGCTCAGCGTTCAAACCTGATTTTTCAAATCCTCCTCCTGTCTAGCTCTTTGCTTAAAGGAATGGCCTGAGGTGGCTGCTTCCCTTAGCCTCAAGCTGTCAGTCTGATACTTAAGAACTTGTCAAGAAATTTGTGAACAATTGAAAGAATTTACAGATGCCTGGCCAGTTGGGACATTTAGCACCCAGTATCAGATTCTTAATATGGAAGGATTGACTTGGGAATTGTAAATTTCCAGGTGTGGAAAACAAGGATGCCTTCACTTTCTGTCACCATGCAAAAGTCAACAACCCCAATCCACCTGTGAGAAAGCAGCAATAAGCCCTCTGCTTAACAAAGTTAGCAATTCTTCCTTTCCCTTCTTTTTCGAAAAAAAAAAAAAACTATTTATAATTGTTTTATGATACGGTTCCATAGGCTCTGGGATTTCCCATTCCCCTCCCTAAGTCCCCTCTTGCCCCTACTAATTTCCCCTCTAGTATTATGATGGGTAGTTCTTCATTACAGTCATAAATCTGTCATTCTGCTATTGAAGGTTTCCCCTACATTGTAGGCACAGACAGCATCGTACTGTCAGGATATTGCCAAATGTTTCACTACTTTCCCTTCTTTCTAATGTAACGTTCTTTTGGTCACTCGCGTTGTGTGTGTGTGTGTGTGTGTGTGTAAAAGTGTAAATAGTTTTCCTGAAGAAGTGTGCTTTTGCTAAATGGATGGCTGTCTTTCATTTTAACCTGGGATTTTTCTCCCATAAAAACATGTCTCTCCAATCCCAGCACAATGCAGATGTGCAGCAAATGCTAGCTAATTCTGGTTCTTCTTACAATAACAGTGCTGGGAAATCTGGGCAAAAAGAGAAAAAAAGCTGTTTTTGTTAGTCCTGCTCTTTACGTCTCAGGCTGATAGCTAAACTCTCAGCTAATTACCCCCTGGGCCCCAGGTTTGCTATAGCCTTCTAAAATACACAAAACCCAACTGAAGGCAAGACGTCATTAGCACTACATAATTCAAGCAAACAATCCATGTGTTTACTCTCCCAGCTACGGACCACCTGCCTTCCCATCCCACCAAGCAGGTTATCTATATATAAGATGTCCTGTTCGCACTCCGACAGAGGGAGCCCCTCCTTTGGCCTTCACCATCTGTGAATCTGAGAGTGGCTCAGCTCCAGCCAGCATGTGTCTCCTCTTATTCCAGCTGCTGGTATTCCTACCCCTGGGAGAGGCTGGAGAGCATCTGCAGGGCAGCCAGTATCACAGTGTTCTCTCCCAGAGGCCCCTAGAAAGACATCACAGAGAGCTCCCTGTGGGCAACCATGGGGAAGCAGACGACAAGCCAGATTTGTTTGTGGCATTGCCCCACCTGATGGGTGCCAGCCCTTCAGGAGAAAGCCAGAGGCAAAGAGAGAAAATGCTGTCTAGGTTCGGCAGGTTCTGGAAGAAACCTGATAGAGAACCACATCTAGCCAGGGAATTGGATGATGAGCAGGTACCACCTGGGACCCAGGCCCACACTCAGCCTATGAATGCAATCAAAATGGAGAAATCTCCTCTTCAGGAAGAAGCCAAGAAATTCTGGCACCACTTCATGTTCAGAAAGAGTCCAGCTTCACAGGGGATCATTTTGCCCATCAAAAGTCACGAAGTACATTGGGAGACCTGTAGGACTGTGCCCTTCAGCCAGGTACGTGTTCTGGGGGGGGGGGGGGTTGAGCAGGTGGAGAGCTGGGACAGGTGGAGGGCAGGAAAAAGAGACTGTTGAGCATCCTCAAATTCTAAGTCTGGTTTGGGGCCTTCATAAAGGCATGATCATATCCCATATATTTTTTTTCTTAGTGTTCTATTATTTCTTGGCATTCTTGGAATGTTGTATGGTGGTGCTATCAGCAATCAATAATTTTGATAACAGAGAGCTTTGCTCGATTTATTTGTCTTAGGTTGATAAGAATCTATCTGGTACCCTTCCTTAGGATAATGGGGACTTTAAAGCACACACCAGAATTTTGCTGTGGCTGTATCTCTCACATGGTTAGGATGTGAGTATTTAGGTCATTTCCATCTATAAATAAAGTAAAATACATTAGGCTTCCCCCCAAAACACCCTCGCAAATATCTATGATGCTCTTGATCTCTGTGTTTCACATTTACCACTTCCTAAGTTAGGAAGGAATTTTTTTAGCGGTTCATCAACGCTATCCAACTTTCTAAAACCTATCCCATAACCTCCAAGTATGTTGCAATCTTCAGGAAATAATTTCTAACATCACTTCCAGCATTACCCTGTCCCCCTGCTCCCAATGATTTTATTTCACTTATTTTCCCTTAAGCTTTCAAAATATATCCTTGATGTGAAGTCAAATCTCCTCTCCTACTTGTCTCCTGGTTCATATTATATTGGTTGAATTGTGGCTGCTATGATCAATTCCACACCATTGTGACAAAAGATCAGTCTACTTTCTATTTTTTTTTCTGTCTTGCAAATCCTCAGATACATTAAATTAAAATCGATAAAATACACCAGGTCTTTAAACCTGGAAACACTGAACCAAAAATAATGCAATGGCAGAGAAAAATTGTATAATCCAATGATATTACTCAACTGAATAGGAAACATTATGTAGCAGTTGACTGTTGGTGGCAGTTAAGTATTCTACCTGAAAACACAGAGACATGGAGCAACAATAGGACAATTATCAAATAATAATGACTGCTTTGTTGGTCCATATGCAGCTAGAAAATTGCTTCCAAGAATCAGGTAGATTTCCTTTAAAATCTTTATTTTGATTTCTACTGTCAATTAAATTTATATCAAAGTGTTTGTTACAGGTTTTGACAGGCATACTAAAGTAAGGATATGGGCCTATGAGAGAAGCGAGAGTGCTGTAACACATGGTCATTTGAAGGCATATAGTTGCAATCCTGCTGCATGTGATTTCACAGACCTGAATGCTCTGTATGTCCCACAAAACAGGATTGAATTAGATTTATGATGTTCTAACCCACTATATGATGAGTTGAACAAGTGTGTGTGTGTGTGTGTGTGTGTGTGTGTGTGTGTGTGTGTAGAACCTACAGTGTACAATGTACTGTGAGGAGTAGAAACTAAAGCATGTTGCTTCTGCAAAAATCTTTCAAGCAGAATTTTTTCAAGTACTCACATTCAATTAGACACTACCTGTTACTGTTTGGGATGTGCAATATTGAGTGAAACATTTCAAAGTCAACTTTGAGATTTCTGCAAGGATAGTTGTGAATTTATTCAGTAAAGAGAATTTACTACAAAATGTATCTCAAATTGAAAACCTTTGGGAACTGTATTCATTTGTATTAAGGTGTGATTCAATGGGATCAGAAGAAATGTGTTTTTTTTTTTTTTTTTTAGACTATCACCCATGAAGGCTGTGAAGAAGTGGTTGTGCAGAACAACCTCTGCTTTGGGAAATGTGGGTCTGTTCACTTTCCTGAGGCTGCACCACACCTCCATACCTTCTGTTCCCACTGCTCACCTGCCAAGTCCACCACGATGCACTTGCAGCTGAACTGTACAGGCATTCCCTCTGTGGTCAAGGCAGTGATGCTGGTGGAGGAGTGCCAGTGCAAGGAGAAGACAGAACATGGACATAGACACCACCTACAGGCTGATGCCCAGGACTCCTTTATACCGGGAGTTTCAACTTAAAAAAAAAAAAGGCTATCTCGCTATTACCATGGAAAAGCAAAAACTGAACAGTAAAGGGGGCTGAGTATTCAGTCTGGAAATGTTAAGTGGGTACAAAAGCTTTAAGGACAAGATGGTTTATAGAAACCTTTTATATCTTAAGTTTTTCTAATTTGGGGGACTCAGCTGATTGCTAAAGTCTTTTCTGCTATAAGTATTCTGTGGCCTATTTTTTTCAAGGGTTGGTAAAGATTCTCCATCTAAAGAAGGAAAAGAAAGAAATCAGGCTATAGTCATGATAGCTGGTGAGATCACCAGAAGAAGACGAAGCTGAGCAAAACAAAACGAAATCAAAGAAAGAACGAAGGGAGGAAGGAGAAAGGGGGAAAGAAGAAAGAGAAGACAGAAAAGAGGGAGAGGAGGGAAGGGAAGAGGAAGGAAGAAAGGAAGAAAAGCAGGCGGGCAGGCAGGTTACGGTGTTTTTAGAAAGAATTCCTCATCCATGCAGCTGTTTCTGTGACTCAAGCACTATTTTGCTTTGCTTAGATGATAGTCTTTCTACAGATGTAAAGAGAAACTAGGTTGCCTCCCTTTTAAAATACTGCCTTTATAAAAATCTTAATGTCAGGTCTCTGCTTTGAAGAGGGAATATTATGCTATGTTTAGTAGTTTGCATAGGGAAGAGGAAAATGTCATAGGTAGCCAGACCAGTGCCTTGGTTATGTGGAATGGAATATACCAGTGCCTTGTTTCAAGGTCAATCCAGGGATGGCTTATGGATATAACCAACACAGGTCAAAATAAGTGTCAAATTAAATAGGCTGCCAATGATTTAAACTTAAATAATTTGAAGGTGAAATCCTGCATCCTCATGTATTTTGGGTTACATAATAAGGTTTCTGTGTTTGTTATGAAGTAAAGCTTTAGGACATATTTAATGCAGTAAATGCCATAATTACAGGTTCTGATGCATTCTGATATATTGGCATTCTGTATAATTCTGTAATTAATATTTTGTATATTCTGTAATGATATTCTGATGTATTAAATGTATGCATATTTTGCAGAACCAGCTTTCTCCATCCAGTTTGCTATTTCTATTATTGTTTTTAAATTCATTTAATTTTTTTAAAAAATTATTTAGATACTTCTACTTTGAGCATACAAATGTGCATGTATGTGCACACACACACACACACACACACACACACAAACACACACATTTCCCCAAGCAGCAACTAATTATTTTAAAGGAAAATTAGCTTATATTTTAATTCTCTTCCTCTTAAATCACACCATCAAACCTGGTGTTCCAAAGAAGCAAATGTATTTATATTTAGTGTATATTATGCAGCACATCAATGTAATAGAAGATAAGCTACACAGATACACATGTGGCAATTACATCAGAATGTATTATACCCTTTGGTGGTCAAAGACAACCTAATTGGCCAAGATGTGGTCATAAGAATAAAATTGTTAAGCATTAATGATACCCCAGCTGGTCAATATATTTTGGTGCCAAAAGCTATTGAGCAGCTGTCTAGTTCGCAATTACCTAACCCTGATTATGTAAACCTATCTCTGCCAATTGGAATCTCCTTCCCCTCTTTACATCCTTGCAAATCCCTTTTATCTAGCCTTGCAAATAGACTCTCAAACCCATGCTCCAAACAATTATCTATTTTATTCAAACTTTGATCTGCCCTTCCCTCACATGTGATTTCCAGATGGGAAAGCAGATAGTGGTATCAGAGCTTATATTCACATCATAATCACATGAGCCTCATGAAATTGTCCATCTACAGCAATTTTTACTTACAGAAACGATAATTTCTAATGGTCTGATGTAATAAAATGAGAGTGTAAGAAATGAAGACACACACCAACAGCAAACTTCTGTCAAGTGCTACATATGGTGCTGTGTCTTTTACAAAAAGCTATACGATCTGATGCTCATCGAAACACCTGTGCAAGACAGATAATCACCCGACTTCATAAAGAAGGGAAGTGAGCCTCAAAGACTTTCAGCAACTGGCCTGAGATTATTTGTAGCATACTATGTCTTGTACTAAAGCATTTGCTCATTTGTTCTCCATCAATTTTGATTTAACTTTTCCCAGCCTCTTGCCTGTGGGTCTCAAGCTGATTTTCTTTTTGTTTTTACTTTAACTAGTTCTATCTGAAGGGTATCAGTGTAATTTCAGGAAAGAGCAATGCTACACTGACAGGCTTCCTGCCAAACTTGCTCTGATTTATTTGAGGCTCATATCAAGTCCCTTCATAAATCTTGCTCTCATTTGCTCCCCTATAAAATTAAGATGATAATAATTATCACAAAATTAGGATGATGTTAACGTGTAGGTACAGCACTTCAGAGAACTTTAAATACTGTAAAACTGCGTGGGGTTAATTCACTCTTCTCTATTACAATTTTTACTGAACACCTCACTTCCCTACCCCAATATTCCTACTTATACTTTCAATCTCCTTCTACTTTTTTTTTTTTGCAAATTTATATACACATTCACTAAAATACACATTGTTCTTTTCTTTTTTTATTTTATTTTATTTTATTTTTTTATTGTTGCTTACATTGTATTATGTAGTACAGTTTTATAGGCGCTGGGGATTCCCCCCACCCCTCCCATACCCCTCCCCCTATGGTGGATTCCTCCACCTTGTTGCATAACCATAGTTCAAGTTCAGTTGAGATTCATTGCTTGCAAACACATGCCTAGCATAAAGTTCAGCGTCTTTTTGTCCAGATAAGTTCAGTGGCCTCTTGGGGAGACCTTCTCTGGTCTGAAGATAGGTCTAACAGAGTAAAGATCCGGTCAGTTAAAAGCCCCAACAAGGCCTCAGTATCAATATACAACATTATGGAATTAATTGACATAGTATTATGTGCTTTATTCAGAAAGCATTTAGTTGTCTATTACCTGGTGAAAAATACCGTCTTATTGCTGTGACTATACCAAGGAACATGAAGGATAAGATTCCCATTCCTATAGAGCTGTGTTGTAATTAGGAGAGATGTAATTCCAAATCGGTCCATTCATTAATCAATAAATTAAAAAGGCAAAGGCTGTAAGTGGTATGCAAAAGAATTGAAATAGCGAAGTGTGCTGGTGATTTGTTATTTTAGACTAAATCTAAGAGGTTTACATTAAAGTTATTCTCTTAAACAGTTTTTAATATTTATTTTTATTTATTTGGAAGGCAGGGAGTCAAACACAGGGAGATAGAGAAATCTCCTATCTCCCATCTAAAGCTTTGGTCTCCAGATGCCTATAATGGCTGTGACCGGGGCAAGCCAAAGACAAAAACTGGGAACTCGATCTGAGTACTCTACTTGGTTGCACTCAAGTTCTTCAGGAATCCAAGAACCTGAGCTGTCATGAGCAGCCTCCCAAAATGCAATTATCAGGAAGCCTGGACTGGAAGTGGAGTTGAGACTGCAATCCAGGATTCAGGCATTCCAATGTCTCAACCACTTGATCACACTTCCACCCATGCAGCTGTGCACTTTATCTGAAAAAAAAAAAAAATTACTTATTTGAAAGGGAGAATGACTTAAATGTTCTCTCTCACTCTCTTTCTCTGTCTCCCTCCCCGCCCCCGCTGCCACCACCCATGCACACATACACACACAAGCACACCCATGCACAGGGTAAGGGGTATCATCATTCAACTAGTTCACTCACCTAAGTGCCTGCAACAGCTAGAGCTGAATGATGCCAGAAGCCAGGACCTCCATACTGGTCTCCCACATTAGTGGCAGGAACCCAGGACCTGCTGATTTTCTGCTGCCTTCCAGGTGCATTAGCAAGAGGCTGGACTGGAAGTTTGGAGCAGCCAGGCCTTGAATCTGACACTCTGATACGGAATGCGATTAAGCCACTGTGCTACATGGCCTGACCCACAGCCGTGCACTTTCAAGTATGGATCTGATGTTCTCTGTGACATGTTATACAGAGGCTTTTCTCTGTTTCTCCCCCAAAGATGCTGGTTTGTTGCTACAACAGATTTTAGACAGTTTTTTCCTTCAAATTTTTTTTTCTGTATTCTAGACTGTTGGCACTAAGTATTCTTTAGGGAGAGTAGTTGATCTAGTTTCATCATTTATTTCCCAATGTATACATTTTTGGGGTTGGGATGTTCAACACCAAAGGTTCGATTTTTGCATCTGTTCCACACACATCATTTGTCAGCTGTGTCACTCCTCCACAGACTCCAGGACATGCATTAGGCTGAAGCAGTGCTTTCTGCAATAATGATGGTCTTCCTGTAAGAGACAAAGGGAGGGAACTTCATATACCATTTCTCTCTTTTTCCCCATCCCGATGTTTTCTGAGGCAGGGGAGAGGATCAGAAGAGATTGTGAACTGTTTCTAAAGATTTTCTTGGGAGTAACACAGAAGACTTGTCCTATTCATCATTCAATTTGACCAGAACAAGGGAGAGAGAGAGAGGCAGAGGGAGATAGGAATAAGGAGAAGGAGGGAGAGAAAAATAGGGAGAAGGAGGGAGATGGAGAGACGGAAAAGGAAAGAGGGTAAGGGAGGTAGGGAGGAGGGAGAGGGAGAGAAAAGTCCATTTGCTGATTCATTCCACAAACACCTGCAATAGCTGGGTCTGGGGCAAGAAAAAGCCAGTAGGCCAGAACTGAAACTGGGTTTATCATGTGGGTAACAGAGACCATTTTAAGCCAGCATTTGCCACCTTCCACGCTGTGAATTTTTACGAAATTGGAGTGGTGGTACAAGGACTGAAACCCAGAGACATAGGCTCCCCATCAGTGTTCTAAGCTTGATACCAAATGCCCACACTAGTGAGGAAGCTTTAATTTTGAATACTAGGAAACTCAACTTAGAAGTTCTTAAATTATAAAGTGAGTTGTGAAGCCTCCTCCAATTGGGACTTGGGAAAATCAGGCTTCCACACTGGGACAGTTTGAAATGTTCAATATCTTCAGTGAATCCTCTTCATCTTGTTAAATCTAGTGTTTATACTCAGGA